ACCATTTTCAAGTCTTGGAATGACTCGTCTAGACTCTTGACCCAAAATATCGGTAAAGTATTCAAATCCATACTGGGTTAACATTTGTTGAAATGAACATTGCCCTCCATCGCGTTGAAATAGAGGAGGTCCAGGTAGAGATATTTCCAATGGGAAATAATTTTGCGTGAAGCAACCACCCATAAAAGCCTCGTTGAATACAATTACGTCCACGTCACCATAAAGTTCGAATATCTTCTGAGGAATACGGCAAGTTCGCTCATATTGTCCACTTTGATAATACAGATAACGGAGCTCCCATATATTATAAGCAAGAACCTTCAGTGTAGTGACAGGTGTTGGATCCCATAGGCTCATTTGAGGTGATACACAAAGCACGTTGTTCCCCGCATCACATGTGTGCAAACGACCATACTCGGCCTCACATTCAAAGTCTAACCCAAACAAATCACAGTATGACGCAGTGAGATCGCACTCGGAAGTAGTATCACCTAATAACAGAGAAGGCTTTAATCTTATTAAGAGTTCTGAAATATATCATTATAGTTTGTATAGATTAAATTGTAATATGTTCTTAAAAAACAAGGACATAACAGAGTAATGTATTAACTGCCAAAATAAACACTACTCACCCAACCAAACGTACGGTGTTTCAGTAGGAGTTTCACAGTCATCTGTGAATAAATAATGATACTTGACTGCAATATAAATAACTATGATAGAGTACCACCAGCTGCCTATGATGCAGTGGTCCTTATGACTGTATTTACTTGGCATGTATTACTGTCATTGGATGGTACGTCTGATTGTCACTGCATGGTACGTCTGATTGTCACTGCATGGTACGTCTGACTGTCATTGAATGGTACGTCTGACTGTCACTGCATGGTACGTCTGACTGCCATTGAATGGTACGTCTGACTGTCACTGCATGGTACGTCTGACTATCATTGAATGGTACGTCTGACTGTCACTGCATGGTACTCACGAATTTCTTCTTAGCATGTATTCCTGTCATAGGATGGTATTTCTGACTGTCATTGCATAGTAATTATGACTATTCCGCTCGGCTTGATTCACCGTCAGTAATTGGCATGACTGCATGTCGTTGCATGGCACATATGTCTGACACTGCTTAGCATGTCTTACTGTCTTTGAATGGCACGTCATACTGTCATTGACTCATATTCACGAATGTCATTGCTTAGCATGTGTTACTGACGTTGCATGGTACTCGTGAATGACTTTGCTTGGCATTTACTGGTGTCGTTGCTTGGTATTTGTAAGTAGAACTGCTTAGCATATAGTACTGTCATTGAATGGTTCGTCTGACTCATGAAAATCTTTGACTGGCATATATTACTACAAGTGTGACTGTCATAGCATAGTATATTTGACTGTCAATATATGATAATTGTGACTGTATTGGCATCTATCACTGTCATTGTCTAATATAATTATCTATTATAATAATCTATCTTTGCTCAGCATGTCGGTTGAATAGCAAGTAGGAACGATCGAACGAAAGCCCCCGACACACCTGCCGCTAATTTCACCTGTGTTCCAACTACTCAGCAAAAAGCATATAACTTTGTTCATTCTAAATCAGTCCGCCCTCTAAACGTTCAGTACCCAATTAAAGTTATTAATAGAACATTATGTCACTTCAGGGGTTGGCTTGCACGGTGACCCCGAGAGGTCACATACCGAATTCTATATGTCAAGATAACAGTTACACGTTACATTTGGTTACACACTCGCTTTAAACTACCATTTACATAAAATCTGCTGACGCGATATACTAGTTTATAAAACGATGCCCCTGACTCTCGACAGCACAGGTATTGTCGGTAACCATCAAAATAATCTGTCATACTACTATCAAATGTGTATATTCAACAACTTCAAAGCAAGACCTCTTTCTAATATTTTTGCTGTCAAAAAGTTAATATGTTAACGTGTTTATAGAGGTTGTTGGCCAAGGAATTCAATAAAGCATTGGCTTTCCAGTGGGGAATATTTGTGATGCTCTGCTGAATCATGTTTTACTCACACGAGGCAAAATGTCTTCAGAAAAAAGGTATATAGTGTAAAACATGTTGAAATAGCTATATGCTATTTTAGCGTATTTTACTCAATACAGGTTTTAACAGAATCTTAATTTAACTAAAGTACCAGCAATTTCATTGTGTGAATTGACTTTATGTTAAATTAGCGACATCTTGAATTAGCGAAATTACGGATTAGCTAAATTAGCTAAAATAACATGCTAGCGAAAAAGACATGTTTACAATAGATGCTGTACATTCCATCAACAACCCTCCCATCTATAATTATTTTTTTTACAATATATCAACCTGAACTTGAAATAAAAAAAAAAAAACTGTAGAATCAGGTTCTTAATTAATATCTTGAATCGGTCTCTAAGGTGACCTTTCTATTAGACTGTAAGACAAAAGAGATGACTTTGATTTTATAACCACCAATTTCCCCCATCGTTGTAGGTATAACCCTACTGTATACAATTCCTAGATATGATGATTTTGAGAAACGTCTCAGACATCTCTCTTCCATGCTGATAAGTCAAGGAAAATTTCAACATCATTCAAGCGTTTCTATGGCAGATATCAGATACTGATGACACAATTCGACAGATTACCCAGGCAGATGATATTTTATTGTTTGACATCATTTGTACTATGTAGAAGGTCCCTTAAGGTAGAAACCTAGTCATAATTTTTGACAAAATTGGTCATAAATCGCATGACATGTTCATTAGTTTATTGTGTACAAGCATGAAGCTAATGAAATACAATGAAATAGGATTATTTTGTGTGTTACAGTTAAGCTTTTTGAGAAACATGTTCTAAAATTTCTTGAAAATTGCTATTTTTAGAACAATTCCATATAACACAATGTTAAAGAAAAATTGCCTTTTTGACACTTTTTAAACAATTCAGAACAACAAAAAGTACTCCATCATTAACAATATATGATTTTTACAGCATAGGTCCCCATGCTAGATTGGGAGATATTGCATAATATCCCCGCCATAGAAACCTGTGATAAAAGTGTAAATAGTGTCAAAATGGCGAGTTTCCACTAAAATACAACCATCAATTTCTCGAAAAAAAGGCTGGTGACTCCAAACTTGTTTTAGGTCAAAATTCTTATATTGCCTTAGAGTACAGTTTCTTGCAAAATGAATAAATTCTGGGTATTTTAATTTATGAGTATGCCTTTTAATGAATCAAATTGATATATGACGGGTATTACTGGCACGGCAGGATATAATCACTCTTTTGCAAAGTCTGATATCACTTCTTGGCCTTAATCTTGAGTTCAATATATTATTTTGTGTACATTAATTGTTGCGAATGCTCCGATACTTATCATTTCCTCTCGTGTAGAACATTAGTTGCTGTACTACTTTAAACATCGGCTTGTGTATAAATGTAAATATACTTTGCCAATGAATATAAGTCAATTGTACTTTGTTGAAATCCCTATACCACTATGTATTTCAGATTAATGAACAGGTATGTCAGTGCTTTTCTTATATGTGGTACTTATGACTGTCATTTCCTTTCGCGTATCAACGTAGTTGTAAGGTTCGTATTTGTTTTCATGCACGTGTTATTGTCGGTGTCATCATCTGGCGTGTTTTATCTATAGGCGATGCACACCTCAGACAATTTTCCAAGGGTGTATTACCAATGTGTTGGTATACAAAAACTGATTGGCTATTAATAGAATATATGTGGGTCATATAGCTGATATGGCCAATCACATCACTTGGAGGGCACAGTAGCATCGTGTGGTGTTCGTATCTCAGATGAATATTCAACTACTAGCGGCTTACGTCACAAATAGATCACGTGGACAATTTAGATGAAAAATCGGTGAATGTACAAAATTGGATGGTAGATCGGGAATAAGATAGGGTAAACATAATACAATTTTAACTTAACCTCTATTTTCATATAAATTTGACAGCGTGTGGCAAGAAAAATCAATCTGCCATTATCATGTTACTTTGTATTTGGACAATTCAATAGCTGCATGGTATACAATGTACAGAGTTGTACAGCTTTGGTGGTTTGATAGAAATATAAAGTAAGAATCCTGTTTTCCAGTGTACTCACTACACTGTGTTTATCAAAACAGCGAGAGGAGACAAATGAGACATCAGTGACATTTTTTGGTGAGAACATCACTTGTTTCTTTAAAAAACGATGAGTGAAATGCACATCGAAAATTGGGGGGTCATCTAGTAATTAGTCTGTGCGTTGAAATTCTGGTATTTATGTAATGAATATGATACAAACGTAACAGATTCGATACTTACCGCAAGAAGAAATAACAACTAAGTAGGTTAGGATCGACAAACGAAAGACATTCCGCAGATCCATGATAAAACAGTTGATCGCTGGAGAGGTGAGTCGCTTATATACAATATCAAGAAGATCAGGAGTATGGTCACGTGACTGGTACATTTGACTCCCGAACTTTGACTTCCTCTATCGCATTGTAAAAAAAAAATAAGTGCAGATTTGTCAAACGATTTGTTTTCTTAACACGGACTGATGTTAGAAATATAATGCGTTACCCCGGCGCTATACGTCTTTTTATTTTATTGTGACCAATACTATATAAAGAACATGAACTTGGTAAAGCATATCAATCAGCAAAAGACTGATGTAACATCCCCAGTAGCATCATGCAATACCGGCGATGGGCGATGAAATCAATCATTTCAATAAATATGGGTATGCGTTTTTCATTTTGTTCACTAGCGATATAAATAGTAAGATTATTAGTGCGTTACGTTATCTAGCCAGTATCAATCTTACAACTGTGTGATGGATCGATGTCCGACAAGACAATGTATACGGTTCCTGATAATAACGCCAGGAACACTCGAATGTCTCCATGTCAACCTTAGCTCATGTGTACGTATCTACAGCGAAAGGTTTGAACTACTAGATTAGCTGATCCCCCGCCCTACAATCACATACTCTGTCCACAGGTTAGTGGGTCAATACAAAGTATCATTTATGTTGACCTGGAAGTTATATATAGCGGGGAATGCATCACAAAGGATATGTACTAGAATTGACCATCTCTGTTATTTTTTTATCAAAACTTTAAATTAGTACAAAATGAGTGTAAACCTACGTCATACAATCGAACTACCAATAGTTGACGTCAGTTTGGAAGCGTTTCACGGATAGCTTTAGTACATGCGTGGGTCAATAAATCAGTGTAATGTGACGATAGTGTATACATTCAGATGTACCCCATATCAGGGTTGACGAACTATCAAAGAGTTCACTTCACTGTGTCCTCTAGATTAGGCATTTTTGAAAATCGTTCAGCAATTGTTAAATAAACAGCAGTCGCAATTGAAGCATTTTCAAGTGGTAAAAATGTGCATCTTAGAGACTCTCAACTGACTCATTAGTCATGCTGTATAGCTTATACTAAGCAGATACACAGCCGACATCGCGTCAATGCTGTGAATAAATATCGGCAAACATTTTATTGTGCTGCAATTCAAATTGAACATTTCCATAAAGTCTCTTTCTAGATTACATCTATTTCTGATACTGGCTGACATTACATTATTTATTTCGCTCACGTTGATATCTAAGTTGTCATTGCAAGACGGTGTGTGTGGAAACAAAGTATAAACTGAGGGACTTTATCACGAATAAGGATGGTACACTATTTTTCCCTGCGAACTGAATGTAATATGAGCCCCATTTTCAGTACTT